AACAGATGTGTTTATCAGTTGTCACAACGAAGTGAGGATGGTCGCACAGAAAATAGGGTGGAGGAAACTTTGGGAGCTTGCTAGGTTGTTCTCTAAATCCACATCTTTCATCTATGCATGTTAGTATCAATAGCTGCTTATTTACAAAACAAAGCAAAAAAAATCTTTAGCTCTGCAGAGTTACAACCTCAGAAGCATCCATTATCAGAGCGTAGCTACCCCTATTGTGGATTAACTTTTCTTTTTTCTTTTTTTTTTTCTTGCTGTTTACAATCACACTGGCAATTTTTTACCATTGCAGTAATTGCACACCCTTTTGGGATGGAAATTAGGCAAGGGCGCAAGGCAAGGACTTGCAGGCTGCAGATGGAGGCTGCAGGGACTTGCAGGCTGGAGTGGAGAATGGACTGGAAGAGAAGCTCTGCAACCCTCTCTACTCTTTCCTCGTTTTGAGTGTATGTTGGAGTTTAACGGTCTGCAAGATTATTCACCCACCTTTCTAAAGCTATTTAAGACGAGTACTGGGAGGGGGTCTGGATTTCTGCCACTTCTGCCTCTTATGTTTATGATATTAATAAACTGGTGTCAAATGTCCTGGGAACGGGCGCTGTAGGTTGAAAGACCTTTGTTTCAACCAACAATAGAACTGAATTAGTGTGAATAGGAAAAGCAAATAGGCGCTTCCTGTCAGATTTTAAGGAAGACCTTAGTGTGGAGGAGCATGTGTGTTAAGAGATTTAAGCTAAATGCACTAGAAAATTGCTCATCATTTGTCAGCACTTTTTTTCTTCCAGTAAACTTTTTTCTCTGTGTTTATATGCATATATGTACTAAACATATTCACAGTGAATGAATTTTATGAGTCCTATTTACTTCGATAGATTCTTTGGGTTATTTGACAGGGCAAAACTATAACTCTAAGTATATGGGAATCTGAAGATACTGTTTCAAGCTAAACCTTAAGAGACCTTTGAACTTCAAAGAGTATTTTACCAAAAAAAAAAAAAAAAAAAAATCTGGGGAGATCTTCACCTTGGTGTTCATCTGGCTTTCATATACAGTGTTGTGGGAGCTCAGACCAATGTCATTTTGCTCTCTCCAGAGACAGAGTATTGCTGATATTCATGAGCCTCTTCGGCCTGCGTTACACCTGCCTGCAGAGCCACCAGCCCAGCCGTTCCCACATGGAGGGCCACGTTCCTTAACTCCTTTATGAATACAAAGTGCACTGCAAACTTAACAAATAGACTGGAGGAGGAGGCTGTTGTAGTTCAGCAAATGCTCTGACGGTTCCGTAGTGGATCACAGGCTGAAATCAATTTAAGCTGGGAAAGTTCTTTCTCAAAACTCATAGCAGTTTTTTAAATTAGATACCCTAACCCATTTGATAAAGCTCAGACCTTATAGACAATGTCCTTTTAAGTGGTTACGTCCTGAGCAGTCAGTTTACCCTGGTGAACAGAGCRTCTGTTTTCTGGGTGCTTCAACTTGCTGCTATTTGTCGTGTGTTTTCTCAGTGCAGCCGCAGGTGTCCTGGAGTCRTGTACAGGCTTTGCATTTCCTACTGTTGTCGATGGAGACAGGAAGTTAGTGGTTTGTGGGGTTTCAGTTCATTTCCTTTCCCTTTTAGAAACACTGAATTCTGACCTGATTCAGGGACCTGCCTAAGATTGTGGAGCCTCTGTGCGTGTTGCTGGAAATGCATTGAATTGACTTTGAATTGGCATTTCGGTTGTGGCCAGGTGGATACCTGCTGCACACTCAGCTGTGCTGTCTGGAGTGGTGATTGCTCCCTAGTGTCCCCTTGCCCCACCAGTTTGGTCCTATCCTGTATTCCGTGGGGTCTCCATGAGCCAAGCTGGTTTAAGCCACTATTTAATTTGCTTTGTGTGTCTTGGGGGTCACTGCCGTGAGGCCGCCTGGTGGCAAGTCGAGCCTGCAGAACCGAGGGGGTTGTTCTGCAGCGAATCCCGCTGGTGCTGGGAGCGCTGCTGTCGCAGAACATTTGTTCTTTGGCCTCTTGCCCAGATCCAAAAAAAAAAAAAAAAGGAAGAAAATGGTGATTAAACTTGATGGTGGCAACTTGAATAGCTCTGCCGTGGAAAGACAGCACTGTTCTCTCCTTCTCACCTATACTTCACCCTGCACTCTTGTATCTGAAGAAAGAGTGTATTTTAATGCTTTCTCCTAGCAAAGAAGAGGTCTGTTGAAGGGCTGCGATTCCTGAGAAGGAAGCAGAGTGGTAGGGATGCCTTTTCCTGGCTGCCTTTGGTCTCGTTGCCTGGTCACCTAAGGGAAATGGAATGAATGCAGAGAATCTTCTTGAAAGTGAATGGAGAAAGGGGAGATGAAGTCAATAGCAGAACTGGTCATGGTAACTTTAAAGTGGACAATCCCTTCTCCCCTTCCCCCTCTCTCTGTGCCTGAATTGTTCAGGGGGCTGGAAGGCAGGAGACCCCTCTGCTTTTGTACTATCAGTGCGACACAGCGTTTGCTACTTGGGTTTCTGTTCCTTTCCTCGTGTGTGGAGTTGTGTCCTGTGCCTTGGGAGCTCTCTTTTCCACAAACACATGTACATAGGCAGCCTTAATCTTATTTAAACAGCCTTTCCTGTCCCACCTCGAGATTAACACTTTACTGTCTGGCTTCTGAGGCTTAAAGCACCAYGTACTAGCATCTGGGTAAGTGTGATAAATCAGAACCATGCAAATAATGGGGTGCTGTATCAAACTGTATTATCAAGCTATAAGAAATCCTCTATACCTTATGGAAAGGATTTGTTTCACTTGCTTTTTTTAGAAAATTCCAGAAATTCTATTTTGAGCCACTGGGAAGGTGTATAAACAATGAAGAAGACCCAAAATGTTTTTAAATACTATGATTCTTTGTTCAGTGCTTGGAAACATCAGATTACTGCACTTGTGTAAACACACTGATTGACTTGCTCTCTGCTTAGGCAGCAGATCAACATGATTCCAAAAAACTTGCACAGAAATCTTTTAGCTCTGATGCAATAAAGACACTCTTTGTTAACTGTCATGATTGACTTGGTGCTGTAGAGTAGGTGACATGTTTTGGTTACCAAGGCTGTTTTATAAGCAAAGTTTATATAAAGTTCATGGTACGTTAAAATAGATAGCTTTTTCTCTGCTAATAAAATACATTTTATTCTATTATTAGAAAGAAATTTAATACAAAATTGCATTTCAATTTTACAGTGAACCTTCTGGAACTAAGTCATTGGATTAAAGTATTCTTCAGTTGTTTGAACTGATAAACCTGTTTTTTCCCCATATTCCATAGACTTGTCAGCAAGGGGAAAACATCAGCACAGCCATTTCTCTCATTATTTTTGAAGTTTTGCTTGTGGCTTTGGCATGTGTGAGTCTCTTTTAGCATTCATGCGTTCACTGAGAAGTCTGGAAGGCCCCCAGCAGGCAAAAATGCTTTTCAGGGTCTGCTAGTGAGTTTTGTATTTCAAGCAGCATTTTGCTTTAGAGGGACTAAAGCAGGTCAGGTGTGTCAAAGATGCATTTATTGGCCATTATCCGAACAGTGTAGTCTGCCTGTTTAGTGTAGTCTACCTGTTTTTGTTTAAATTGGTCATCCCATCCTCTGGCCTAGACCTTCTGGGTTTCATATATCGTCTGAATTCTGCCTGACATGGTTACCTTTCTGTGGAGAATTTTGGAGTTGCTTTTTGGATTATTTTAGGTTTTTAAGTACTCATACTGTCAAGAAGCAGCTGTTCTGTTACCAAACCAAGACTGAGTGATTATACTTTCTGGGGGAGGATCCTGATGCTTCAGAGATATTACAGCTTTGGTGGATATATCTTCAAAATGCAGGTTACAGGCAGTGTTATTGCCAGGGAAGCCATTTTTTATGCTTAAAACTGAATGTGCACTTACTAGTAAAATGAAATATATTAATAAAAYAATTGTAAAAGAAAGGATTTCCTCAGCACCATGAATTGCAGCTTTTTCTGCATTGGTAATTGTGCTGATCCTCATTCCTCTTGAAAAGAGACACTCCAATATAAAAGTGGTGATGTCTTTAATAAATTCCCATAATAATTATCCATTTTGGGTTATGCTGTAGTGTATTAACCTTTTGTACTAATTCAGAATCTCTGAATACTAAAACTATAAAATTTTTAATAGCAACTTACCCATGAGCATATCTGTCTGGAAGGGTCACGGTGGTTCTGCTCCAGAGAAGACCTCCTAACGGAGAGTAAAAGCCCTTCAGGAAAGGAGGGGATTTCTGTTGTGTGGAGGTGTCAGGTGTTCCTTGGTGTCCAAGGATCAAACCACCCTGTGGGCAAAACACGAAAGTGGGTTTCAGAAAAATGAATGATCTCTTAAACGTTTTTAAACTTTTTTGTTTCTTACTTGGGTTTCCRTATCTATATTTAGTATTCTGATAGGGATGAGATTAACATTTCCATACATCTTGCTTTATTTTTTCTTTCTGCCAGACTGGTCTTCCTCCTGTGTCTGATGTCACGCTGCAGTGTTTTAAAGTCCTAGTACTCTGAAACGTCAAGCTTCATCTTGGTGTCCGAGATGTGTTAAGACACTAGAGGGGGAAGCAGACCTGGTCTCACTGCATGTTCCTTTTGTAATGTGGTGCGAGGCTGCTGGCAGATACTGCTGATCCCTCGAGAGCCTTTGAGGGCTATGGTTATCAGATAAGGTTCTGAGGGCTGCTTATCTGCAGCGCTGGTGCCTGAAGAGGAGGGCACTGAGCTCTGCAGTAGATACTAGAACGCCTCCTATTTCTTAAAGCTGCTGGCGTTCGTGACAATAGAGCAGCTATTATGTGCTGCTTGCTCAGATGCTCCTCCCTCGTGCTGCTTGCTTGTGGAAGGGATCATTGACAGGCTTCTGGGCCGAGAGAGCAACCCTCTGTGTTTGCACGACTCCCACCTAGAGACTGTAGCAGAAAATAGCATGCAGGGGTGGGAGGAGGCAGCGGCGGGCAGCGCCTTCTGGGGATGCTCCTTTGCCCGCTGCGGCGCTGAAGGGCTCGGATCCCCCTGCGGGGCTCTCGCTGGCCTTCTAGGCACCCCGAGAGGGAAAGGGCTGATAGTCGTTCTGTTTGGCAGCGAGGCTGGGAATAGCGATGAAAATCCACAAGCGAATCGGTGCACTGCGGAAGATGAAATGCTTCCCGTGCCAGCTCCCAAACGCGGTTCAGTCCGCCCAGCTGAACACCAGTGCCTTGATGTCTGTCTCTTTCTTTGAGCAAGGTATGGGAATGCAATATTCCTAATGGTGAGTTACTGGATTGGGAAGGTTGGGCTGCTTTGCTTTCTAGTGCTGATTTTATGTAAAATATGCCTCTTGACTCTATTTTGAGATTAGTTAATAAGGAGGCATTTTTCTGCTTATATTTTTAGCACATTTATTTTGCCCTTGGAGAAGGAGCTGTTAAAGCTTACAGTATAGAAGACACACTGGAATCTATAGATGCATCTTTAAAAATGAAATACTAATTTTCTGTTGTGATTGCTGATAAGGACTTTAGCTTTTAAAGTAAAATTGGTCTAAGTACTTGAAATCATCTTTTAGATGGTTTATTAGGTGTGGAAGAATTCACTCCCTTGCTACTACCACCAGAACGTGCTCTTTTTATCCTGGAGGTGCGGGGATCTTAGTGTGGAAAGTTCGTCCAGTGAAGGAGTTCCATGCACATACTGAAAGATAAAACACAAATGTCAAAAGTGAGACTGTCTGGAACAGTTGCAGAAAAGTTGGCACGTGGTTTGCTTCCTGCTGCATGAGAGACCTGTGTAACTGCTAAATGCAGAACATATTAAACCGGCGAGCTGCAGAAAATTGACGTTTTATCCCTTTCTGTAAAATTACTTTGTTGTTCTGTATTGCAGAAATTATGCTCCGGGGCTAAGGCTTTTTATGTTGTAAAACTTTTGAGTGACCTTCATAAATCAGATAGCACAGTGATGAATTTATCCGTATCCTTGTGTTTGGATTTTCATGTCTAATTCTTCTTCGCTATCTTCTCCACTTCTTGCCCCCCAGTACAGCTTAGATAGCTGATAATTTGCCACGTTGTCATCTCTTCTGAGGCTGGCTGCACTCACAGTGTTATGTTTCTGAATGTGCTTTTAAAAAAATTACTTTTCTGTAAACTTGTCATTATTAAAATATTATTTATCTTTTCTTTGATTATTTTAAAACTCAGTGTTCTTGCTTCAGAATGGAGCGACTGTGCTGCCATTCAGAGGGACCTGGACAGGCTGGAGAGCTGGGCAGAGAGGAACCTCATGAGGTTCAACAAGGACAAGTGCAGGGTCCTGCACCTGGGCAGGAATAACCCCAGGCACCAGTACAGATTAGGGGTTGACCTGCTGGAGAGCAGCTCCACGGGAGTCCTGGTTGATACCAAGTTAACCATGAGTCAGCAACGCCCTTGTGGTCAAGGCCAATGGGATCCTGGCTGCATCAGGAGGACGTTGCCAGCAGGTCAAGGGAGGGGATCCTGCCTCTGGTGAGGCTGCACCTGGAGTATTGTGTGCAGTTCTGGGCTCCCCAGTGTAAGAGGGACATGGAGCTCCTAGAGAGGTTCCAGCGGAGGGCAACAAAGATGATTAAGGGACTGGAGCATCTGTTGCATGAGGAGAGACTGAGTGAGTTGGGCCTGTTTAGCTTGGAGAAGAGAAGGCTGAGAGGGGATCTGATCAACATGTATAAGTTCATGAAGGGGGAATGTAGGGAGGAAGGGGCCAAGCTCTTCTCAGTGGTGGCCAGCAATAGGACAAGGGGTAATGGGTGCAAGCTATAACACAGTTCCATCTCCATGTGAGGAGGAACTTCTTCACTGTGAGSGTGACAGAGCCCTGGCACAGGCTGCCCAGGGAGGCTGTGGAGTCTCCTTCTCTGGAGGTCTTCAAAACCCACCTGGATGCCACCGTGTGCCACTTGCTCTGGGTGTCCCTGCTGGAGCTGGGAGGTTGGACTAGATCTCTAGAGGTCCCTTCCAACCTTAACCGTTCTGTGATTCTGTGCTGCTGTCCAGTCAGGTGCTTTCCTGACACACTGCAACGCAGTATCTGTTAAAGTTCAAGGCAGGATTGTTGTTGTTGTTGTTTGTTTAGTAGTTCTCAGTTTGCAGAGCACTTCATAGAACTCTAGTTAAAAAAAAAAAAAGAAAAGAAAAGAAAAAAAAAGAAACTATCAGGCAGAAAACTCAGTTATGCTGTTGATCTGCATTTGTCTAAGAATAAAGTCAGAATGGCCTGGATGGCATGTCTGAAAATCTAGGTGCTTCCATCTTCTGAAAATTGGATTGTTATAGATGATTTTGCAAGATGAGATTTGTTGAAGGTGGTGCACAAAGACTGTCCATTTTTCCGATTTGAGTATGTGAAAACAGGAGATACGTTTGCAAATGTAAATTGGTACTCTTGTAATGTGAATTTAATTTGTTCTTTTTATCCCCCCAAAATCCGTTTTCACTATATAAACAGATTAATTTGCTCTTAGACATGGCTGATTTTTGGATGTGTATTCACATTTAGTACAGACACTTACAGAACAGTATTTGTAGTAACATGAACCTTCTTCATCTAGAAAACGATGCCGAAGGTTTTGTTAGAGTTGGTCTGAACTCGTACGCCAGTTTTCTGTGACTGCTTTCGCACCTCCTTGCGTCCCTCAGACCCTGATGTCTGAACATCCCCACGCCAGCAGCTTTGCCGAAGTTCATAGGAAAAAAGGAAGGGCGGGGAGAGGGAAGCACTCGGCACCTCGGAACGAGAGGGGTCCTGAGCAGACGTCCCTGGGCGAGCGGCCCTCCCGAGCCGCGGCGAACACTCGAACCCAGATCTCTTTGTGGTGCGGCAACTGCCCGTGGATTTTCTAGGTGTACATCATGTAGAACGTTTTGTGGTTTTTAGAACTGTCGTTTGTGTTTTATAACTTTCTTTTTACGCAATCATAGCTTTCTTGGGCATTTGATATTTAGCAGAACTAACTTGTGGGCTTTATCCTTGTTCCTGTGCAGCGGATATAATTTCTACGGTAGAATTTAACCATTCTGGAGAGCTACTAGCAACAGGAGACAAAGGAGGTAGAGTTGTCATCTTTCAACAGGAGCAGGAGGTGAGTGCTGGCTGCTTAAAGTATATTAAATACTTCGTTCTGTTCCCATTTTCTGTTTAAAGATGAAGGTGGTTTTATAACAGATTTTACAGGAACTGAATGTCTGTGTAGTAAGGGATTAAAATTCTAAAAATAAACTAATTACTGAAAACTGATTCCATTTATCATCTGTGAGCTAAAGAGAAGAGCTCCCCGGTAGCGGCAGTGACTGTCTCTGCACCTCAACCACTTTGATCAGTTGGTGCCACCTAGCGCCATTTGCCTGGCTGAGTAGCTTTGTGCAGAGCAATCTCCTATTCACCTCCTATAGCTGGGTAAAATAATCTGTCTTACCTTCCTATAGTTTAAAAGCAGGCATAAACTTTTTCTGTCTTAAATTCAGCTGTTTATTTTGCCTCCTTTAAGGCTCCTTTAAGGAGCCTTTCAAGAGTCATATACTCTTAAATTTAACTAAAGGTTTACATAGCTGTATTTTCTCATTTACTCACATTTTCTCAAGTGTGGTGTCTTTTAATGAGTGATTCCTTAAATTTTTCATGTATCGCCCATGGCTTTTATGCCTTCTTGAACTGGAAATATGGGTGTAGAAGGGCCCATCTGGCTCCCAGATTTAGTCTAACACAATTGCTTTTGCCATAAACCAGTGTGTGGGGAATGAGCAATGGGAACTGCACCGTAGGCACCACTGTCTACAGCAAGTTTGTCCAAAATTAGCTACAGGTCATTTATTTTTGAGTATTTTCGCTGGGTTTATCTGCCTCCTTCCATCCTACTGCATTCCAAAGAGCTTTGCAAACTGTACATCCAGAAAAAACACCACTAAAATACAGTTGATCTATAAGGACTTATACAGTATGTCCGTTTGCTCACTGCTGAAGTRCTGCCATCTTCAGGCTGGAACGTGGCAGCTGTTCTGCAACGTAAAGCGAGTGACATTGCTTAAGAGTAAGGCAGGAAATGAATACTGCATCTAATTGAAACTGGGGAGGAATTTGCATATGCAGCCTGTAATTACCTAATTTGGAATTTAACGTACTTGGGCCAACACCTTTTTTTGTTCTCCCCACTGAGTATCATAGGTGATCCAGTGGCTTACGTCTTCCCTTTCATTCTAAGGATGGGTTTCATGTGTTATTGTACTCGCCAGTCCCTTATAGCTTTASTAGACACACAAAGGCTGAATGGTCATGGTGAGTGCTGAGCTGGAGGAAGGAGCGCTGCATCATGACCAGCATTTCCTAGAGCACAATAGACTCACTTTGGAAGTCTCCTATTCAGTGCAGTGACCCTACTTCACTTGTTAGGCCCTCCTGAMGCTCAGAACAAAGTGCCTTCCGTTCTCCAGGGAGGGAAAGCCGGTATAATTGGTGGGTGTGGTACAATACTCTAGTGCCAAATTTTATTTCTAAATAAATAGAAATTTTTTCCTTTCCTCTTTCCTTCCCCCACAGGTTATTGTAAAATGTATGAATTCCTGCCAGCCATTAGTATAAGGCAGAGTGTGTGAAGCAAGAGAGTATGATGCGAGGAATGTGACAAATGTGGGCTAGCAAGGATCATATCAAGAAGTATGTTTTAGTTAGGTGYCAAGGGATGAAATAAATGGATGGACATGAGACAGATAGAGAAGAAGTCCCTCGTTAAGAACGTATCACAAGAAAGGTATCTGATGGTGCAATGTCTTGAAACGTCTGGGACAGGAACATGTGTCACACAGTGAAGCTTGAAGTGATTTCAGTGGTACCTAGTGAGCAGTTTCAGAAATAGTTTCAGCTTCTTTCTCTGTGACCGGACCTGTTGGAAGGAATTTAGGTTTCACAGTCCCTGCAGTGTCATAGTGGTGCCAGGAGGCCGCTGCTTAGAGCATCACTTTCAGAAGGACGTGGAAGTGTGCACGTTGGGAGGCTTTTTGCATCTCCACACAGTTCTGCCATTCTTGARCTAACAGCAGGTGTGACTTCTAGTATCAAAGATGTACTGAGCTGAGGCRGGGGGGTTGTTCATCCAAGTTCCTCATTTACAGAATAAGGAGAAAGAAGGAAGGCTCCTTAAAAAGAGGATCAGAAATGTTCCACGATTGAGGAGTGCACAAACCACAGAACTGTAGCATGCCTGTAATGAAGGTAGTAATTACCTATGGAATTCCCTAGCGTGCCGGGCAGTGTGGGCCTCCCCACGGAGGTTTGCCTTGAGCGTGGCTGTGCTTCCCTTGCCGAGCATCTTCCTGAGGAACCTCGGGTGAGATGTAATTAGAGGGGAGAATAATACAGATTTGGGGACTTAAGCAGCAACAAAAAACAAAGAGCAAAAAGCTCTTAACAAATTATTTGTGCCTAGAATATTTAGATGAAAAAGTTAGTAAGAAGGGAAGTTACAAAAAGGGAAATTGCACTTGCTGTAGATTTGTGCAGTAATTATTCACAAAGGCGAAGGGAGTTTCTGGAAACTCTAGGATCAAGAACTGCTGCAGTGACCGTTTCTTCCTTGGTGCTTTCTTAACCAAAACAGAAATTCTAATCAAGTCCTTGCAAAAGATATTCTTATTTTCTGTTTTGTAGGCGTTTAAAATAAAGCAAATTGTAAGCCAAAGGATACTTGCACTAAACCTGACATAGGCAATAACAGAATTCAGTAGTCTTAATATTTGCATTCTAATTAGCCACCTGCCTGTGTACATGGTGTGTACATCCAGTTCTCTCKACTGCTTGCAGCCCTTACAATCATTGTATATACTGCATTATATTATCTTGATCATTTAATTCTTTTTTTAGAACAAAACCCAGTCTCACAGTAGGGGAGAATACAATGTTTACAGTACCTTTCAAAGCCATGAACCAGAGTTTGACTACTTGAAAAGTTTAGAAATTGAAGAGAAGATCAACAAAATTAGGTGGTTACCCCAGAAAAATGCTGCTCAATTTCTATTGTCTACAAATGGTAAGTTACATACATAACTGTATGTGAATGTAAAAAAAWTTAACATTAACTAGGCTCATTATTAGGAGTTTGTCTGATCCTTCTCCATTCCATAGATATCTGGTAAAAAGTTATTTTAAAATGCAAGTATCTTAAGCATTTGGTTGTAAAAGAGTCATGGTGTTTAAATATGTGGATTTGTTGATTTGGTTGCTTTAAGGCAAAGGAATGTAGCTGAACTGTCATTCAGGCTCTTTATGTAACTGCATCTGCTAGAGCTTATGGTAGTTGCATATAGTAATACTGATTCTAACTGAAGCTTGCTAAAGTAATTTTTTTTCTGGAAAGAGCAAACTGGAGGAGGGCTCTTTGTTTTATCTTGTCCTGTTTTCTTTCTGTGATTTTGAGGTGAATCAACATATTTATCCTAGTTTTGTTCGAATTTCCGCASACTAGTTTCTCAGTTTAGTTTTGTTGCTACAAGTAGGTAGTCTAACCTTGCTTGAAGGCTACATATCAAAGAATATCAGCTGTAAAGTTTAATAATGCTTTTGTTGGAGCTGTGATTTGAACCTGTGTGGCTGTTTCATTTCAGATAAAACAATAAAGTTATGGAAGATCAGTGAAAGGGACAAAAGACCAGAGGGCTATAACTTAAAGGAGGAAGACGGACGGTATAGGGATCCTACTACAGTTACAACACTACGGGTAAGTGGTTCCTTCACATGCGTTGGCCGCAGGTTGAGACTGGCAGGGTAAGCGTGAGATGTGCTTGAGATTCCCRGCTCGAGGCTGCCCTGGAGCTCGCGGGAGGCTTGTGCGGGTCCGGCCCCGCTGCGGAGTCATCCTCACATTGCCCGTGAGGTAACTCAGGTCCCATGGGCGCTCCTTGACWTGAGTAGGTTCTGAGCTCTGTGTATTGCGCACGTGTTTGTAGCACGTTGGCCCCTCACACTTTCACGCTGCTTTGTGTCTTGCAGGTGCCAGTATTCAGGCCCATGGACCTCATGGTTGAAGCTAGCCCACGAAGAATATTTGCCAATGCTCACACGTATCACATCAATTCCATCTCCATTAATAGTGATTATGAAACATACTTATCTGCGGATGACTTGCGGATTAATCTGTGGCATCTAGAAATTACAGACAGAAGTTTTAGTATCTTTTCTTGCATTGTTTTATATGATGGAAACATTTGGTCAAAATGGATTTTTTTTCTTTTACAAAGAATTTTTGTATAGCCCATTTCTCCACTTGCTGGTTATTAGTAGCAATTCCAGTGAATTTACTTCTGGGAGCATGATTCCTTTGGGTAATGTAAGCAGAACTGATGATATGCATGTTAAAAATCATGTTACTTCACAGCATGGATTGTTAAAGTGGGGAAAAAAACATTTAACAGCCTTGAGAAAATTATTTTGATTTCTGTTTCTAACCTCCATTCCTTCTTGATCAGCCATCAACCCTCTTCATGTTCTAACCTTCATTCCCTCTGTTGCAAGTTTTGGATTAGATGCGTATAGAATAACTCCTGGGAAAATAATTTATGGACAAATAAAACAGGATCCTGAGCAGAAATCATATATGCCTTCTTTATGCAGTAATAAAATTGGAATTTAAGCAAAATAGGTCTGATCTGGCAAAATTTGGATGACGCAATAGTATAAAATCACATAGTGCTGAAGTGTAGCAAAAAAATGTATTTTGTTTATTAAAAGAAAGCTATGAGTGTTGTAAGAATTAATCTAAAGCTGATATGAAATGCAGAGTTMGTTTTGCTTTCTGGATAAATTGTGGGACTATCCAGCTTGTTCTTTGACACACAAGCGTTCTCCTGCTTCCAAATTTCAGMTGTTTTAAAAGTCTGTTTGGCTATTTCAGGTATTTTGGTGATTTGGAGAAACTTGACAGAATGTGTATACTGAAAAATACTGAAAAATGTGTTGTAAAAATCAGAGAAAATTTCTTAACAAAATGCTGTAGATATTGTAGATATTAAGCCTGCCAACATGGAAGAGCTGACAGAGGTGATAACAGCTGCAGAGTTCCACCCAAACAGCTGTAACACGTTTGTATACAGCAGCAGTAAAGGAACGATTCGTCTCTGTGACATGAGAGCATCAGCGCTCTGTGACAGACATTCAAAATGTGAGTTCTGCCTTCCAGAGCTTGTTCTTTTATGGAATTTGATGTTTTGCAATTAGAGAAAATTAAGCAGCCCATAAAGTATATGCTAAAATATTAAACATAAAACCATATGTGTATTTTATGTCTTTAGGATATTAAATATATCTGAAACCTAGCTGAAAGGTAGATTCATATTTTTCCGGAGTGATTAACCTGGTAAGCAATTTTAAGTGGGGGYGTCTGCTTAGACAGTAGGCCCAGAAATGGCTGCAGACCTCAGTTGGGAAACCCTAGTTGGTTTGATGCCTGATCTGTACCTGTCCTACAAGTCACATACAAGTATGTGAATGAAGCCTYAAAATATTAGTAAGTACTGATTTATCTGGAAGCTGATGTGGCTTTGTGTTAAACAAAACATCTCGGAGTATGGCAGTTTTGTAAAGTCTTTTGCTCTGAGATCTACTGTATATAGCGTAGGAAGACTAGCCCGCAATGGCAAATGTATTGGTAAACCTTTTCACTTCATTTAGATGTCTTGTATTGGAAGAGRGTTGAACAGATCTCTTTACATGGCTGTCTTATTTCTATACAGTGTTTGAAGAGCCAGAAGATCCTAGCAACAGATCATTCTTCTCTGAAATTATCTCCTCCATATCTGATGTCAAATTTAGCCATAGTGGTCGATATATGATGACTAGAGATTATCTATCAGTGAAGATCTGGGATTTAAATATGGAAAACAGACCTGTGGAAACATACCAGGTATTCGGTGAATTACGTTAAAATGTTGCAGGCTGTAAATGCAAGCTTCAGAACAGACTGAATCTTGCTTTAATAATCTTGATCTGGCAGTTGAATTTAGGTGTGTGGAACAGGTCTCCTCAATGGATGATAGGAATCTGTAAAGGTAATCTTCAGCTATAAAACAGCAGGTTTGTTTTAGGGACTTGAGTTCACTTCATATTCGCCTATTCCTTCCCAGAAAAAGGGGAGGCAAAAAAATCCTATGGAAGAGATGTTTGATTTTTTTTCAGTTGATACTAAGAATTGCTGTAGTGCTGTTCAAGTTTCTTATTAACTCGCTTGCTGAAGGTTTCCTCTCTAGTCAGTGTACTGTGATTTTGAAGAAAGTAGATACCACAATCCTTCCAAGAGAGTAATAAAAAAGCTGTTTACCGTGAAGCAAATAACAGGTATTACAATATCTGCTCAGAGAGTGAAAGCATTCAGAAAATGGAGATGTATCTTTCCCCTCCCYGGGTGATACACCTCATGTCTATATTCTGTGCAGCAGAATATCTTAATTCAGGCATCTGTGAATTTTGCTCATTACCCGTACACTCAAAGGGTTGACTTTGAATAAAGGGATAAACGTGCTTGTCAGTTGTATAATTCTGGAACAGAATAGCAGGGTTATTTTATGAATGTGTCATGCTGATTATTCAACTTTTTTTTTTCAGGTGCACGAATACCTCAGAAGTAAACTCTGCTCACTGTATGAGAATGACTGCATTTTTGACAAGTTTGAATGCTGTTGGAATGGTTCAGACAGGCAAGTTTAAATCTTTGCATTCATTGAAGTCTTTTTAATTTGTGGAGGAGAAGATCTTTCATATTTCCTATTTTGAGAAGCATGGCCTCAAATATCTGTCTCTCTCTCCTTGGACTGGCTTGGAAAATAATAGTACCTTAGGACATTAGCATGTGCATATTAGCCCAAAACCATAATTGCATTTTAGGATTATAGACAGTTACCTTACTATCCTAAATAGATTCATCAGTTTACTACAGTGAATATATTAATCCAATGCTTTCAGCCACTTAAAGATTGAAGAGACTGGGATTTTTATTTTATTTATTTTTCAAATAACGTTTCCCCGGAGGTTGTTTTCAAATGCAGTGTTGTTTCTTWCTTTCCCCTCTTCCATCTGCAGCATTGTCATGACAGGATCTTACAACAATTTCTTCAGAATGTTTGACAGAAACACAAAGCGAGACATCACCTTAGAGGCATCACGGGAAAACAACAAGCCCCGTACGGTTCTGAAGCCACGTAAAGTTTGTGCGAGTGGGAAGCGAAAGAAGGATGAAATCAGTGTCGACAGCCTAGACTTCAACAAGAAGATTCTACACACAGCCTGGCATCCCAAGGAAAATATCATTGCCGTAGCTACTACAAACAACTTGTATATATTTCARGACAAAATGAATTAGGTTTGGCATTCCTACCTGAAGAGTCCACTTCCTGCATAGTTGAAATAGTTGAATCTAGCATTTGTACCTGTAAACGAAAGAGAATGAGAGGTCCATTATGGCACCCCTTTCCAGTGTTTAAAAATGTGCCATATGACAACACATTTTTATAGCTACATGGAGAAAGCTCTGTGGATCGGTCCCTGTGTTCTTCTCCATGTCTGCTAGCCATTTAGGTGAGGATAGGGCACTTTTTAATTTAAATGACTACTTGCACCATCTTGCCTAATGGACTAGATTGGACTGTATCAACATTGGTTTACTCCACTTTTTATGCCTTCCATTGTGATGACGTCAAACACAGGGAAAGCCTTCAATCATGCTATGGGATTTAATTGTGTAACCTCATTACTGTATCATTTGTGGCCCCCTTTTTTATTAAATACAGCTCATTCTTGCTGTGGCTTGTAGCATTCCTCCTCCTTCTGGCCTCCTGGACTCCCCCTTTCCCCTTTATCCCCCTCCACCTAGCCCTGGTGGTGGTGTATAGAAAACAAAACAAATAAAGCACATGAAATGGGTCCGTTTGGGGTCAGTGGTAAAGGGGGTCTGTGTTGCAACAAATGTTTTAATAAACAGTTGACTGTAATCACTCCTTGCCATGTCTGGCACCAAAAAAAAAAAAAAAAAAAAAAAAAAGAGAAAATAAGGAGAAAAACAAACAAACTACTGAATAAAAGTGACAAAGAATGGAGAATCTGTTTTCTTTTTTTAATCTACCTCTTTATACAAAACTCTGTGTTTTACCTTAGATGCATGAAAATAAAAAGATGTTTTTTGTAATGATTTTAACCAGTATTAATTATTTTTCATGGGAATGAAGAGGGAGGGATTTCACAAGTATCTGCATTCATTTTTTCATGAATGATAGTAGTACAAGCCTTAGTGTGCACTGACCACTTCCCTTAAAAAAAACATAAACTGCTGTCAGGTTTTGCCATAATCTGAACTGGTCAGTTACTGCTCAAATATCCTTAAAAACATTTTTTTTTCTCTTTAACTATTGCTTAAGTTGGAATGGGAATAGAATTTGTAGGTTTAAAATCCATTTTATGGGACTTTTTTTAATACTTAGTTTGATCATGGTTTCTTTAATGCCTTGTTTATTCCCACATGACTTCTTAAAAAGTTGTTTGAATTCTTGTCTAGCAGTACGATGTTATGTAGTACAAAATATCAAGTGATTACATAGATAATTACTACAGTGCATTCTGAGATATTTTCTGTATTTTATTGCTATCAGTAACTGAGTGGAAATGTAGTTTACCATGCAAGTGTTTCTCCTGGCTTTTGGCTTTGCAAAGTTTTATTGCACTTACAGAAACTTTAAAATGGTGCAATGATCAGAAAATACGTGGAGTACAGAAGCTGCATGAAGTAAGTGTTCATAGTTATTTGAGCAATTTAAACTCTTAAGCAAATAAGGCTTATCCAAAGATGAAATAGATACTGATGCTTTATAAGACTTGTGAGTTTTTACCTCCAGATGTTTTTGCTAATTGTGCTTTTCTGTTTACTTTTCCTTCAAGGAAATGTTCAGAACAGATTTTTAAGTCATAGTGAACTTAACTTGACTGGRAAGATTTTCACTTTTCAGTTAACTACATTTAAATTATATCTGTGGCTTAGTTATGGTTAGCTATTACAATGCCTCCATTTTTTGATCAATTAAGATACTGTTTCTGCTGTAACATGACTGGGTTAGGGATTGTTAACAGACTTACTGTTGCAAACACTTTATAATTTCATTAAGTTTTTGTGCTGTGGTTTGAAAAAATGTAAAGATTCTAATATTTATTACATCTGGTTCTCTGAAATACAGTATCTGTCTTGTAACAAACATGCATGCCTGACCACAAGCCTTTGAAAGGAATTGACTTTTTTTTTTCAGCCTGTTAGTCTGGCAAAAATTTTACGATCCAGAAATCCCTTCCCCTCGGAGCCTCCAGGACGGCAACTGGAGCGGGTGAATACCTGCCTGGGACCTGGTCCTGCTACACATCATGGAACTGGCTTTACTCAAATGAATATGCTTCCAAACAGTTAAGGAAACAACCTGTTGAGTAATCATGTATATAGGTGCTTACAGGATCAGGGCCAAGGTTTGTTCACTCCTTTATCACAAGGGCAGAGAGGTAATAGGACATTTCTTTTGCATCAGAGCTGGTGAAATTCATCTCCATTTTGCRAAGAGGGCATGAGTTTAATTATTTCCATTTGGGGAAGATGGAGAGTTATGGCATCGAGACTGCTGCTTTTACTTACRTGTGTATCTGTATATGCTGAGTGATGCACTGAATACCTGAAAAGCAAAGGGAAGCCAGGATGAGGTAGAACGGACAGGCAGCTTTCATGTGGAGCAAAGCGCAGCCTTCTAGCAATACTTCCTTCAAGCAAAACTGCCTCTTGGACCTCAGCCGTGCGTGTTGGGGTGGATACGGAGTTTAAGGCTAGTCCTTGGGAAAGGTTTCTGTTTGCTCAATAGCCGTGATCCCTGGCGAGTCACTTGAGGTCTAATCTATCCTTGCCAAAACCAGCTACTGACTGTGGTGTCATAGTATCCAACTAGGTAAAATTCTCTAAACACACTGTCCATTGACATATGCTGTAAATCTTATATTTTATTAATAAAAAGTATGCATAGAATTCTCTTTTGTCAGGTTGCTTTTTATCCTCTATCCTTACTACTCTCTACTTACAGATTTTGAGATTAGTGATCTCCCCTGTACTGCATGATGAAAAAATACTCTGTTTTTACCACCTTCTATATTTTTATTATTTCTGGACCTTTTCCTAGATGATGGGAAGGAAATGGTGGCTTTTAAGGTAATTCAGCCCTCTTCAGTCCTCTACAGAATTACAGAGAAGCTGCTGTTCCATATCTGGTGGTCTCTTCCAGCTCTTGCTAAAAACAATGCAAGTGTTGGATTGTTATCCTTGCCTACTAGACCAAACAGAAAAAGCGAGTTGTGTTCCCCCCCACAGCATCTCTTAAGGCCAGTGCTGGCCTGAGGATGAAAACCACCACTTTGATGGTTTAAGTGGTTAGTTTACTACCTGCAAAACTACAAATGTATTTTAAACCACTGAGAGTCTCGCTTGCAACAGCCAACGCTCAGCTGCAGTTGTTAACCTGGCCGGCACAACTGTGAGTACAGGCAAAGCCCGGGCCTTGGAGCAGGTGCTGGAGAGCAGGAAGCTGGATCCTCCTCTCTTCAAGGACTGCTGGAAATCTGAACATTCCTGAGCATAACCCAGTGTGTGGCATCAAAATAATCAGAACAGAGTGCTGCCAGTAGGGAATACTTGGATTCCCCTGTAATACATGAGACTCATCTGGAATGGGCTGTTTCCACAGGCATGACCTAGCTGGGAAAAGCAAAAGGAGTTTACAGCTATTGTTTCTGTGGTCTTCTGTCCCTCCAACCTTGCTATTGTAATAGCATTTTCCATCCCAGGATTCAAATTACTTTACAAATGTTAATTACATCATTCAACTGCCTTAAGGAACAACATGTCTAGTGGTTGAAACACAGGGCTGAAAGTCAGGAGTACTGAATGCTATTTCTGGCTCTGCATTGACTCACTCTATAATTTTGTTTAATTTATTTCTGACTCAACAACTTTAATAGTCCCATTTACTGATAAATATTCATGCCACAAGTATAATGGCAAATGCTTCCTGAATGATGGAGATGACAAATATTCATACACCGCTCATCATGTTAGCCTGTAATTGTTAGGATTACAAAGTAAGACAGGGACTCTCTAGGCAGGTTTTCTATTCAAGATAGATAAATACCCTATTGTTCTGATTCTAATCTAGAAAGTTCTAAACAGTATTTGCATGTTAATCAGATTTATCAGCTTTACAATTTGGTTTGGCCCTTCTGCCTATAAACAGACCTTCTAATAAATTATTGAAGTTACTGCCACCTTTACTCTGCATATAGCTTCTATTCCAGTGATATCCATGGAATATACAGATTTTCTAATTAGTAAGATGAAACATTTGGTACAATCATTCGGGGTGTTTATTCAAGTTTATTAGAACCATTATGGTTGGGAAAGACCTTCAAGATGCTCAGGTCCAAACCATAAACCCATCACCACCATCCTCTAATCCACGTCCCCAGCTGCCTGGYCTACATGGTTCTTAACACTGCCGGGGATGGTGTCTCCACCACTTCCCCACACAGCCTGTCAATACTTGACTACTCTTCCTATGTAGAAATTTTTCCTAATATCTAAGCTGAACTTCTACTGGCACAACTTGAGGCCATCTCCTCTGGAAGAAAGAACTTTGCTTTGAAAGACTGATTTCAAATTTCCACATGTTAGTATAAAGTCACCTGCCATTAGCACAGAGTAACAGAAGATAAGAAACATGTGATAGGGGTATTCCGGCATAGGATGGTTGTGACAGGAGTAAATTCACGGTTCCTTTTTGTACCTTGAAACCGTGATTAGATGTCAGCAGGGAGCTGACAGACAGAGCTGCCATGGCCCGCGGGCTGCAAGGTTGGGGCTCCGCTCGAGGCGGTGGACACGGTCAGAGGTGTCCCCWATGGGACGGTCGCGCCCGCTCCGCCATATCCCCTCCCGGCCGACGGTTACCCCGCTCCCGCGCCCCTTTCCTCACAGCCTCTCCCCTCCCCCCCCGCGGCGCATGCGCGCCCGGCCCGCGGCGCCCCGCGCTTCCCGCCGCCGCGCGGCGCATGCGCAGCGCCGCCGCGAGAACGTGCGCAGGCACGGGGGCCGCCATGGTGGGCGGCGCGGCGCGTGCGCGGCGCGGGGAGGGGGCGGGGAGGCCGGGCCCGGAGCGGAGTCCAGGGTTGTTGTTGTCGTCCCGGCCCCGCGGCTCCTCGGTCGCCTCTGCYGCTGCTCCGCGCCGCCATGTCCTGCCCTCGGGAGCCGCCGCAGCGCAGCAGCAACAACAACCCGCCGGCCGAGGGGACGCACGGCGAGACGGGCCTCAACAGTGAGTGCGGCCGCGGAAACGGGCGGCGACCGGGAGAGGGGGAGGGTAACGGCTGCCGCGGGCCCGCGACCCCCGGCCCGGGCTGGGGCTGGCCCAGACGGCGGCCGGAGGGGTCGTGGGTCTGGCCGCGTGCGCCGCGGAGGCGCCGAGGGGCGGCGGAGGAGGTCCGAGGCGGGCGGGCGCTGCCGCGGCTCCGCGGGGCCACCCGGCGAGAACAGCCGCCGCTGGGGCCCGGGAGCCGCCGGGCGCGGGGCCGGGCGGGCAGGGGGTGCCTGACAGGGGGGGGGGAAGGAGGCGTCGAAATGGGGGGGAGCCTGGAGCGCTGCGTGAGGGGGGCCTGACAGCGGGGCCGGGGGGCGCCCTGGGCCGGGCGGCCCGCGGGGTGAGGGGGCTCGGCCGCCTCTGCCCGGCGTGAGCAGCCGCGCCGGGCACTCGGCGGGCAGGGGAGGAGCGCGGCTGCGAGGCTATTCAGTGGCTGAGTCAATATCACTGACGTGAGCTATTTTCCTCTGTATCCGGCATCTCTGTCAGCTGCTCGGCTGCATCCTTTTGTTCCCAGGATAACGCTGGTGTGGCACGTACATGGTTTTTACATAGGCCCTGGTAGTTATCTGGCTTTTCTCGTGCTTTAAATAGCTCTTGGAATGTGTATATGTTTTTAAGTACCACGGATATGGCAGTTGAAGAAGTGAGTAAAAAGCACATTCAYGATTAACTATCACTTTCATGGTTTACAATGAAGTTAAGTTATATTGGCTAGTTGATCTCCTGTGGCCGAATGGGAAATGTATTAAGGAAGAATGAACTACTTACTGCATAAGCTTACTATTGTGTTACGGTAACACTACATCTTACGATAACTGGAAGTTTACAGCAGCGTGCACCCCTGAGTCAAACAGGTATCTTAATTCTTTCAGGGGTGTTAGTATATTTAAATAACAGTTACAACATGTTACATTTGGAACCTGATTAATGCCTATCTCGGTGCTATGTGCTTAGGTTTTAAATTGTAATCTTTGATGATTCTCTTCTATTTTGGTGTTTCTGTTTGTTTTCCTTTGGGTCGTTAGCTTGCTCTGTGGGAGATGCTAATCTGCTCCAAGACAGGAGCAACAAGAGCTGAGTGCTCTCTGAGCCGTGGTCTGGGYCTGCCCACATAGATCTTACTGCCAGGTCAGCGCACGAAGGCTTAGCAAAATCAATGTGATTACTGAAGGCAGTGAGCACAAGGTATGAGAGGAAATGTTTGGCCGTCTGTGCTCTGTGAACCAAATAAGTGCAACGAGTCGGCCCCATCGAGGCTTAGTGCTGCTTTCAGATGTTCAGCCGCTCCACAATGCTTTGGTGTTGTAGCGAAGTTTTCTGCCATTATACAAGTTTTTCAGTGAGCCTTTTCAGGCTAATGAGTTTAGACACTAACTCGTTTTGTTTTGAATGTAATTTGTGCATGTTGAGGGCTTTCATTCAAAGTTCACTTTGCCCTTAAATCAGAGGTTGAAAAACCTGGAAATGAAACTGGTAACTGAACTAGTTCACACAGAAAAGGCTCGCTTTCCTTGGGAGTCCCTAATGTTTCCTGCATTTGAATTAGTATAAAATTCTGTTAGAGAAAAGAAGAAATCTGCCCCTCCTCTCCTCCCCCCGATGAAAACTGCTGTATCATGAGAAATCTGCTAAATAATATTTGTTGTTGGCASTTGAACAGTTGTCCGTTTCCCCCCCAGAAATATAATAATGTTACACATCATTGTAAAAGTGATATTTCTTAGCTTATTCAGGTCTGAAAGTTAAGGTTTGCTTGCTCTTCCTCAGTGTGTGGCTGCCAGAGCTACGTGTTTTAGCCTGATGTCAGATTCAATTTGTGCTTCCTTGAATGTATTTTGACTCATTAGAAGTGAGGTCAGATGGAGAACGTGCTGCTTGTCATGTAAGCTACTGCTTGACTTGTTGGGACTCATCACTCACAGTTTAATTTGACTGTTCTTCTTACTACAGCCATTACACAATTTAGATAAAAGGCAAGTTTTGAGACAAGAATGAGTTTTTATTAAGGAATATCTTTGTGCATGGACTTCACTGCGGGCCCATTTAGTAGCTACCAGTTCAGATAGTTCTATGTTACAGGAAATATAGAACTCTATGTTATAGGAAGTAGTTTCCCTTGCATGTGTGTATTTGCCTTCTGTTCTTTCAAGTTGTTTGTCCTTTAACTGTGTGCAGTTTTTGTTTGCTTTGGGTGTTTTTTTTGTTTATTTTTTGATTGTTAGTGCTGTGGGTCTCTGCAGATCTCAAGCATTCTAATTCTCTCGACAGACACACTCTACTCCAAAATGGTTACTGGGAAGCCTCTCTGGGCTGTCTTCCGAGTGCAGTTGCCACATGCTTTCCTGAAGCTGTGGTGTCTTATTGAAAAGCTGTTGCTACAAGGCAAACTGATGCTCCTCATTTATTTTTTTTTGTAATGTGGCTTTTTTTTTTCTTATTCTTGAAATACGGACCTAAGTGATCATCATAAATCTGAAATAGTATTGTCTGTGTTCCACGCTGACCAAAGGCCACATTTTCACAGTTAACCCTTCATTATCTGAGAAACACAATAACCAGGACGGAATTGGTGCACGTCTTGTAATTACGGACAAAAGCTCTGTACACACCTCACAAAAGCTCTGTACACACCTCAGATTCTTCGTGAATACTGCTTGGGAAAGCTGAACTATAAATCACCATGAATTGTAAGATTGAACCTTACACTTCCATGGTCACTGACATAGTGGTGTAGTTAACGATGAGTGGTAAGGTTAAACTCTTTCTACTTCGTAAAAATCAAGTTGAAAATAGGTATCTTCTTGATACGTATATGCCTTTCTATGTTGCTGGATAACAATTCCCAGATTCAAAACTGCAAAAGTAGATAGAGGTAGCTTAAGATACATCTCAGATGGCAGTAAGTCAGGCTTTCATTATTTTTTGGTGACATTCAATAGTTTTTTTTGTGTTTATTGCTAAATCTTTTAATGGGCCATTTGAAAGAGCAGCTGCATTAAATATAAAGTTTCTTTAAAAAGTGTGCTTGAAGACTTCACGGCAGAAACATATTTCCATAACAAAAATGTTTGTCAAAATGGGAATTCATAAGGTCCTAACTGCAGTACTCTCTTACCTGGTGCTTTAGGAAACAGTTAAGTGCTGGTGTTTTATGACATGGAAAAATGCAGTGTAAACTTCAGTTTATAAGAGCAATAACTGTAAAAGGCAATCTCAACTGTTAGCCATTTCAGGCAAACAAGTATGCTCTGATAAACCAGCTGTGTGCTCAACTGGTGCTGCTTGTATATCTTAATAGAATGTTAGCATCACAGTTGGATAGGGAATATATTTAAATAAACTGGAACAAATAGAAGGGTAGAGATCTGAGGGCATTCAAGCTTTTGATAATTTGAATATGACCCACTTATTAAGTTTATGATGGGTAGGTGGCAGATGGCACTGAATGGAAGATGGTTGTTAGAGGAACAAGGCAAAGGAAGCTGAATGAGGCCAGCTAACGAGAATGGCAGTCTGCCTGATGAACATGAAAGTCAGAGGCTGTTTTCAATGGAGGGAAGATGGCCTGTGCAAAATTGAAGGTGAGGAAATTGTATAGGTGGAGGGTTAAGGAATGAAAATTTTCTTTCAAAGAGGAATGTAGAGTAGGGAAGCAGAATAATTAATATAATTGAGAGATATAGAGAGCTGAATCTTCAAGCCACAGAGAGAAGTTTATTAAAGCATTCTTACATCATTAGAAGTGCCCCCCTCTCCTCATGTATTGACTAGTCCAGAGGTAAATAGTAACATAACTTTTTAGGGGAGGTTCTTGTTGATGAAGTTTGAAGAAACATGTCACTTGTGTCGTCAGTGTTTTGAGTCTTGTTTTTTTTCTCAGCAGCAGCGCGTGTTATCTGAATTCACCATATTCATGTTTTTTTTTTTTCCTGTGTGAAATTGATAAACTAAGGTTTTGGTTTCACTGCTTTTAATGAAATGACATCTGGCTGGCTCAACAGGTTCCTGGGTGGAGTTGCAAATGAACGGCAATGGCAACGGCAACAGCAATGATAATGCCAATGGGAAAAACGGAGGTCTGGAACACGTCCCTTCATCCTCCTCCATCCATAATGGAGACATGGAAAAAATTCTTCTGGATGCCCAACATGAATCAGGACAGAGCAGTTCAAGAGGTAGTTCCCACTGTGACAGGTAAGGAAATATTTGCTGCCCTAAATGTAAATTTTCATCATTTCTGTCCTGTAGATGTTAATGAAGGGATAGGGGTTTTGCGCTGGCTTGTGTTTGTCGTGTCCCAGTATTTGGAATACTTGATGTGTCATGATAACTATTAAATAAGTACATTAACTTGAAGCTCGTTTCAAAAAAACAAGAAAACTGCTGTGTTTTTTCTTATATCAGATGTAATTTAAAATTGGTTACTGCTAATTGAATATAGTAGCTGCAGAGTGTTTGAAAATGGTCCAAATAAGTATTTCAAATAGAATGGTTATTGGGGTAGAAAATATTAAAGAAATATGTCCAATGTTATTGGATATTTGGACATTGTATTTGGACATTTTATAGAAGCTTTATAAAGTTTCTGATATACTTTGGTATACCTTTTAAAAAGTTCTAAACCATTAAGTTTCCTTTAAGTATGCTTTGAATTWTTTGTAGAATATGTATTTATGAAAGCTGAAGTCAAGTTAAAAAGATGCGCTTAGTATTTTGATGAGTGAGATAGGCATTGCTGCATCTTACAGCGTTTTGCCTTGTGCCTAGTTCACATTCTCTAGGATTGTTTTGTAGTAATGCTTCTGTAGTTGACAGATAGTGGTACAAGAAAAATGACATAATTATTATTTCTTCAGCCCTTCACCTCAAGAAGATGGACAGATAACGTTTGATGTGGAAATGCACACGAGTAAAGACAGTAGTTCTCAGGTACTTACTTAATCAAAAGTCATTAACTTTTTTAATGTACATAGTGCACATAGATGATTTATTTATACAGATCCATATCGGAAGTACTTGAGGAGTACAGCAAGCTCTTATATACAAAAGATTTTAAAGCTTATGTATTTTACATGTCATAATAAATTAAATGTATTAACCTGTTGCATTCCAACAAGTTGGKTTTTTTTCCATTTTGAGACTAGTCTGTGCCGTTACCTAAAATACAAGCAAAAAAAATTAAATCTTATTTGTTCAAAATTTGAAGCCTTTATTTTGCAATTTGGATAAGGCTCTTATCTTGTACTTTGTTCTTGCAGGCTTTTTTTACTCCCGTCTTTTTGATTAGAAATGTATATAATAGTTTTTGTAAAAAGGTATAGTAAATCATGTATTTTTTTTTGTGCACTTAAGGTTATGTCAGTTTAAATTTTATTTAAATCCAGAACAATTATTTTTAGCAGGCAGGGATGGTAAACCTTTCTATTATTTCAGATGTGACTTTTAAAGGCAGCTTTGGAGGAAGGAAGAATGAGGCTTCATCTCTAAACTTGACAGATACTTCATTCAGTATTTTCGGTTGTGTTTGTGAAACCTGTTTTGCTCTTGAACATAAATATTTCTGCATGAGGGAAGGGTGTTCAATTTATTGCTTTATGGATGATCAGCTCACATGATTGTGAGTAATCTCAACAATGCAAACTGAGAGGAGACTAATGCTGCACACTTGGTTTGATCGTTTAATGGGATTTACTGTCTTTGGCAATATAAATAGAAAGCAAATCTGAAAGTATGAAACCTTGCGTTTAATTTTGGGAAAGAATTGGCACAGCAGGAGGACTGTTGCCTTTTTGCCTGTCAGAGAGCCCTAACAGTCTGAATGGAGTCCTTTGTGGCCTTTGCTTAGCTTTGCCTTCTCCCTTTTCTGATTGTTCTCTTTGATTACCTCAGTTACTGCAACTGATAGCTCCCACTTCAATGTTTTGAGTTATATAGTTTTATTTTGCTGAAGATGACTGAGGAAATTGTTTTGCCTTTCTAAAGTGAATTTTGCTTTTGTACTGATGCCATTTTATGTTAGGTAAAGAAATGGCGTTAGTCTAAGCTGTTTTTTGCCCCCATGTGTTAACGCATCAAATATTGCACATAATGATACAACTTTAAATCTTTGGGTGAAAACAATTGTAATGAATACTTGCCTTTTGCCTAATGCATTTGAGATCCACACAGTAGAGAACTCTAGTTTCCAGTAATATTTGTCTCAAACGCTGTAATAATTCCTTAAAAAAATCCAAGTACCAGTTTTGATTTTTTTAATATATTTGCATRGCTTTCTGTGCTCTTCGCCACATGCTCTACTGTTTAAATCAACTACAAACAACAAAAAATGTGATTTGATTGTAGAAACTCTTTATTTGCTTATTCTTTTTCATGTGATGCCAGTTTATTTGCACTAGGATTAGAYAATAATCTTTTTTTTTCCCCCACTGCCCCTGCTTGATCTACTACTACAAGGAATAGCTGATTAATTGGTATAAGGCTTGTGTTGTGTATATTTGCAGTCTGAAGAGGAAGCAGTGGAAGGAGAGAAAGAGTTGGAAATTTTGAAGAAAAGTGCTGACTGGGTATCAGACTGGTCGAGTAGACCTGAAAACATTCCTCCTAAGTGAGTTAAACTTTTTATTAACAAATATTCCTTTGTATAAAGGAAGAATCATGAGTCGCATCTCAGAAAAAAGTACATAGCGTTTCCTTGGGGAGTCAATAAAAAATAGACATACTTGAGTATAGAAGTCTTAATAGCTTCAGAATTACCTTTTATTGAAGCTGATATAAATCCACAGCAGGTTGATTACATGGCTGTTTTACAAAATTCTAGTTATTGGGAGAGTTGGGTACTTAGAGCTGGGATTCATGGGATTTGGTCTTGGCTTATTGAATGAAATAGTTTTGAGCAAGTCTCCTAAATTCTCTGTACCTTTTTTTCTTTCTATGTAAAATATCTAATGTTCATCCACAGAAGGGGAATCATTGAGATCCTTGAATGCAAAGTCTTTTTATTAAAATAGAGGATGCCGTCTATATTTGGCAGACTTCTGTATCTCTGTTTGGAACAAAAAAAAATGAGACTCTTGCTAACAAATCACATCCTGAAATTCCCTCTCTTGGACCTACCTCTCTCTTCAGCTACTGCTCCCTTTGTGTCTATACTGTCTGTGTAAGTGGTCTCTCCACAATACTTACTATTATTCTCTTGGATCCTTTACTCCGTATAAGGGGTCTCTTGCTTTGCTTTCTAGTTCTGTGCATTAAAAAAAAATCCTACAGAGATCTATGCATTTGTGCACACACACACACATAAAAAAAAAAAAAAACTCAGAAACAAAAATCTTCCTAAATGTTTCCCTCTCCCTCTCTTCTTTCAGGGAATTTCATTTCAGACATCCTAAACGTTCAGTGTCTTTAAGTATGAGAAAAAGTGGAGCTATGAAAAAAGGTGGCATTTTCTCTGCAGAGTTTCTTAAAGTTTTCATTCCATCTCTGTTCATATCTCATGTTTTGGCTTTGGGACTAGGGTAAGTATTGATATAATACCTCAAATTTTGCTTTCAACTGCTTCCCCTTTTACTAGTTTTTCATGTACTTACTGAAAAAGGTTTTAAAAAGAATATTATTATTATACCTTGATGAAACTAAATTCAATACATGTTTTACTTAAGGCAAACTTTGCAGCAGTTTCTTATGCAGCTGTTTGTATGATTTATTCCTGGAGAGGTTCAAGTTTCTTTCATTGAAAATGCATAATTATCACAAATCTGCAAGTACAGTTTGTGATTTTTAAAACAAGCCATTGGTTTATCTAGCCCTTTTAGTTAAATCCTTCATAGAAAAAGTAAGAATAAAATAAGTAAGAAAACTACTAGAAATTTTACTAGCTGTTAAAAGAGTACTTTGCACAGCTAATAGTGCTGAAGTCCTGTTTGCACGGCAAGTAGGAACTCTGTAATTTTCAGTGTCTAATGCTGCAATTGTGTGATGTTACTGAAAGCTTTGAAAGCTTAAAGTAGGTAATGTATAATACTGTATTTATTGGTGAGATCAGTTACCATTCTGCTCTGCAGCATTTTTGGTGCCTATGTAATCTGGCATAATCTTTGAGTTTGCTTAAATTTTTACGTTGTATTTATCCATCTTGCATTCTTTTGTAATGGTGGCACAGATATGTACTCGTAGATACGTTGTTGTTCAACTTCATGTTCTTCTGTTCCTGGAGTATAATTCAAGTGTCATTTTACATTCTTGTAAACTACTGACTAAATTTGTAGGATGGAATAYGTGGAAGTGTCAGAAGGCATCTGTACTACAGCAAAATTGTAAATTTCTGCGGCGAATGAAATCTTGTTTAGGTTTGTTTGTTAGAGGTCAGCATTCGTTTAGCTCTACAACACTTGCTGTTTTAAAGTTCACCTTCCTTCGTTTATAGTCAGTCCTTCGTTTGTTTTAACGTAATACCTCAGAGTGTTGCTCAGCTGTTCAGCAGCTCCTGTTCCACTTGCTGTACAGTCAGAACAAGAAAGCACTTAGACTGGGGTTTTCAAATGGGCTTGGACTGATAGAAGCCCCCTTACTGGACATTGATAACATCTCTAAGATTCTCATCAAGCAAACTTACTTGAAGGACAAGTTAGAGTAGCTGAGTGCTGAGGACTGTTTCAAAAACAGAGGGTACTTCTATGGAATATGATATGCCTTATACCTTTTTTATTTCAGCATCTACATTGGAAAGCGACTGACCACTCCTTCAGCCAGCACTTATTGAAAGATGGAGTGCAAAACCTGGAGATCCATGTGAGCTGTGAAGGTGTTACTGTCTCATTTAGTACATTTGACTTGAGACCATTTTAAGCATGACCCTGACTTCACCCTTTCTTTACATATCCAGGTTTTTGCTAACTCTTGGAATTCAGTATTGTGTTGGAACTCTGTTGAGGTGTTTCGCTATCCACCTTCTTTCCCTTTCTTCTCCCATTCCTCTGCCTCTTGGCCTGCAAGACACGTCAGAGTTGCTGAACAGAGTTTACAACTGTCTATATGTTGCAAGGGCTTCTCTCAATGCAAAATGCCACCAGCAAATTTTAATTTTATCTGTGATGCTGTTGCCTCCTTAGTGCAACTTGACTTAAATTTCAGTTGTGCACGGTATAAATGTTGACTGTGTTATAGTGATAAAATTAACAATCTCTCCAGATACAATTATTATTGATTGGAACAAAACTTTTTTGAGAAACAAGCTTAATTGTAGACTAAGAAATCACTGTCAATAAAAAAAGGTATTTTAAATTAGTTCCTGGGGGAATTCACTTAATCCCTTGTATTGGCTAACACACTTTAATTTGCAGGAGGCAAAGACTGCATACATTTTAAAGTAGAATAACTAAATACATCAGCATATTTTAATAGTAGGTAATTGCTGTAATCTCGTTTTTTTTCTATGAAGTCAGCTTCTTACTCCTCGTAGGAAAACCTGTCTGATGCCTAGAAAATATTAGAAATATTGCATTGTTTGCATGTGAAGAAGCTTTTCTTTTCCTTACCTTTTTCTTAATGGGAAATTTTGTGTGTAAAATTTCCCTCCTAGTAGTAGTTTGAAATTAAGGAAAAAAAAATCAGCTCTAGGTGTAGTTAGACTCTATATAGAAGGATATGATTCTGTTTGTTGTGGAACCATTTTACAATTATGGAGATATGGCAGGTTCAAAAGTTAAAGCTTTTGACTTATCTTTAAGGGGGACAATCTTGCAGGTGCATAAAGACTCAGAAGTTGTAAAGCTCTGAAATGTCTTCTGCAAAAGAGTTTTCAATATTCCTATTTCTCATTGTTTACTGTACAGTCCCCTTTGGGGATGTTTGAAATCGAAGGTCATTCGTGATGTCTCATGTTAGATAGAATTTTCGCTAATGTTGTTGAACTTTTATCTTAGGGAACATTCAACCTTGTCCTCCTTCAGTGACACTTTTTTCAAAATGTGAAGCTTTAGTACCAAATTGTTACAAAGCATTGGGACATACATGTCCTCGAGGTTTTATCGGATTTCAGAACATGTAGCATGACTCTGAAGGATAGCATACTCTGTTTTTTTATATATATATAAATATATAAAAAAAAAATATAGACTTTAATACTAAGTATTTAGGGAACCAATGCTAATTTTAAAGCTAGGAAAAAATCTCATTTAAGTAAAAACTTTAGTGGGCTGACTCACCGAAAATATTAAGAAAATGCAGTCAGCTGGTTTGGAAAAAGCAGCTTCCTATAATTGTTTGCTTGCATCAGAGCTTGTAGAGTTCATTATTTGATGTAATAGCGATTGCTTGAAGCACTTGATGCATAGAGATTATAAATCCCAGTTGAAGTTCGATTTAAAAGAACATAGCTCCCAGGAAGTAAAAACAAGTTAAGTATAAATCCACTGCTAGTCTGTATTTATTTATATTCTCTGCTTCTGAACACTGTTAGAGAATGCTTTCAGGTGAAAGGGCAGTCTAACAATTCTGAGAGATCTGCTTTTTTCTTCTAGTTATGAGTATTAGTGGCACTTGAGTTGCCTACAACTGCTAGTAGTTTCCAGTGGGTTTCACCCAGAGGTGGGGAAGGGAAGGGGGAAGTGGTGAAGGGTGTTTTAGATTGTACCAAACACATCATTTTAGAGCTCTGTGTAAATTGAGGGGATGGGTGAAGGGCTGAAACATGCTCAGTTCCAATTAGAGCACCTTGTTTTGTATGGAATTTGGAGTAGTGGAGAAGTAGATTTATACCGAGTGGGGAGTTTTTTCATAAAAAATAAATAAATTTTAAATTACCTCTTTGTAAATTAAAAGGTAATTCATCTACAGTATATCAGATAAATAATTTTACAGACTATTGACTAAGTATCAACACAGCTTATATAATAATTGAAGGAGCCATGAAGTAAAAAATTGTGAAAACCACAGCTGAGCAATGGATACATGATCACTGTAACACTTGCTATGATACAATGCAGTATTTATTGATACCCTGCTATAAGCCTTGGATGAAAGTCTACAACTTCTAGTTTTACAATGAACAGAGACTGTTGTATAATTTGAAAAGGAGGTTCAACTATTGAGAGTTGAAGTTTTAAGATAAATGTTGTTTAAAAAATGCTTTATAACTGTTTACAGTTTGGGGGTGGGGGGGAAACAAAACAGAAAACCCGCAAGTTTCATTTTTCTTATTTTCAGTGAAAACTGGCCTAAAGTGTTTGTAAATAGAATCAAGAAAAAAATGCATAAACTCGCACATGAAAAATGCAGCAGGCTACCTTAACTGCAGTGAAACCATACCTAATGTTTTAAAAAACGAAAGCTGAAGATTGTTTAAAATTCATTTTTTTTAATTGACACTTGTTGAACTATTGGAGTTAACTGAGCCAAAGTGATTATGCATTCTTCATAGATTAGTTAGCACTTTGTAACATTATATACAGTTTACAGTACATGTATAAGTTGTAGCTTTTAAACATTTTGTGCCATTAAAGCTCTCACAAAACTGGTTGTCTGAACTTACTTCATGCTGCGCCTCTTTTACTAAGCTTCCCCCGGACAGGAATKGTTTGTATAATGCTTTGTAAACCTGTTGTTTTCTGTGTTAAATGAACTCTCAAGCTGACACTTTTAGATTGAAGTGTTACTGTTTCTTTGAGTGACTTGGGATCATCAACTTCTTGTCCTGAAGACTTCAGTAGTATTTCTGTTGCCAGCAGGGTATACGGCCTCCCTTTATCCGGTGTCCTCTCAAGGAAGATTTGTTGAATTAATATAACGGTATATTACATAGAAGGTAGAACTGCTGAGTTTTTGTCTAATATCTCAGTTGGTTTTCTGTGTACTTCTGTTTCCTGATTTGCAGATCAAAGAGTAAGGGACATAATCCRTAGTTGCTAATCTTTCCGTATATTGAAGAGCACTTTAATTCTAAGAGGACTATGGTAGTGTTGGAGGACTGAAAAGCTGATCTTGTCCACTAATCATCCAGTGATTTTTGTATACTGCTAACCTTTAAATCCAGAATATATTTTTGGAAGTGAGATTTTTTTCAGAGGTACAAAACTTAAGTCTTGTTTTCAAAAAGCTCAGTATTTAGGACTTGTGCTGAAATTTGGGCTTGAAGTCGCATGCTTTTCAATTATCAGTATTTTGAAATTACTATTCAGAGCAGATTTTTTTTTTTTTGCTCGGTGTTCATCTGCAGCTAACTGAACTAGAAAGACACATAGATTTAGTAGGTATTAGAGGGAAAAATGCTCATTGCACACTTCAGAGTTTTCAGTTACTTAGAGCACAGTCTTTTGCAGAAGAATGAATTCTATTTTAATATTGCATAAGCAGCAGTATCTCTGCATTGACGTGATTGCTTATATTTTGATCGGTGTTTCAGTGGTGACACTTGCTTTCTTTTTAAACTTACCTGTATGTGTATGGAAAAAAGAATACTTTGAATTCTGTGCTTTCTGAAAACAGTTCTTCTACG